ACTCTTTCCTGCCCTATGCAGGGGGTCGGACTCAATGATCTATTGAGGTCCCTTCTGACCCTAGCATCTATGAATCTACCCTTCTGAGGTTTGCTCCATATTGGAATCTCTGGAATGTCAGATAGTGGAGCTCCAGACCGTAGTGCAGAGGCTGCGTGCCATCAGGGATGGCAAACAGGAGACTGACTCCTACTGCCAGGCCCTTCACCCCAAGAAAGGAGAGGGAAGAGCTAGGTCGCCTCCCAGGACAAGGGAGGACAAGAGGAAATCCCATACTGTCCAGCCTGGGCATTGGACAAAGGTTGTCACCAGCCCCAAGGCTTGCTGCACCAGGGTCATCACTCCCCTGGATCTCTGCAACAGGTATAAACCCCTCACACCACCAGTAGATCCTGCAGAGCTGCCAGCTCTTGCAAGTGAGGAAGAAACGTGATCATTCCTAAGATGAAACGCAGAGTGGTTGTTGTGGGAGACTCCCTTCTGAAGGGAACAGAGGGAGCAACCTGCTGCCCCAATTCCTTAGCCCAGGAGGTCTGCTGCCTCCCAGGGGCCCGTATCTAGGATGTAGGTGCAAGGATCCCAAAACTTATCTGGCCCTCCAACCACTACCCCATGCTTCTTATTCATGTGGGTCCAAATGACACAGCTCAGAGCAATCCCAACCGTGTCATAAATGACTACAGGGTTATGGGAGCGGGGCTCAGAAGGTTGGGGGCACAGGTGTTTTTTCCCTCAATCCTTCCAGTTATGGGTCATGGGCTGAGGAGGGAGAGACAAATTGAGGTAGTGAACAGAAGACTGCAGCGCTGGTGCCATTGTGAAGGCTTTGGCTTCTATGACCACAGTCTGCACTTCGGAGAGAGAGGCAGTGGTCTGTTGGGAAGAAATGGCCTCTGTTTCACTCCACTTAGGAAGAAGCTCTTCTCAGCCAGAGTGGCTGACCTGCTCGACTGGGCTTTAAACTAAGCTTGCCGAGGGATGGGCAGACAACCACCAGAGCTAGCTCACCGAGCATCAACTGCAAAATCAGAAGGTTAGGATGCTCAAGGGAAGACACTCCTACCCCAGCTGAAGAACGGAGCATCTCCACGAGTGTAAGGAAGCCTAGAGCCTCCAACAGCATACTTATTTGCCTGTAAACTAATGCCAGGAGTTTGGGGAATAAACAGGAGAAACTGGTCCTTCTGCTAAATAAAAATTACTATGATCTCATAGGGATAACGGAGACCTGGTGGGACTCCTCCTATGACTGGGCTACAGGTATAAATGGCTATACCTTGTACAGGAGAGATTGTGCTGAAAAAAGGGGTAGGGGTGTAACTCAAGGAGGACAACTAGAGACCCTCTGGGTTAGAATATGAGGGGAACTTGGTGATGGGGATACAATGGTAGGAGTCTACTACAGACCTCCAAATCAGGAACTAGAGCTTGACCATTAATTCATCAGGGAACTGGCCAAGGCTGCATGCTCGCATTACATGGTTGTCATGGGAGACTTCAACTACCCAGACATCTCATGGGAATAGCACTCAGCCAAATCCAAGTGGTCTCAAACCTTCCTCGCATGCTTGGATGAGCTCTGTCTGTCTCAAGAAGTTTATGGGCCAACAAGAGGTAAGGCACCACTGGACCTGGTACTGGCCAAAGGGAATGATCTAATCAGTGACCAAAGAATTGAAGGGAAGCTGGGTGACAGTGACCATGAGTTGATCACTTTCACTATCCATCGCAAAGCTGGCAAGTCAGTCAGCAATTCAGTAGGCCTTGACTTTAGGAAAGCCAACTTTCATAAGCTCAGGAGGCTTGTTGTCATGGCCTTGAGAGGCCATGATTTGACAGGGAGGGGAGTTCATGACAAGTGGTTGCTCCTTAAGCAATCCTAGATGCACAAGGGAAATCCATCCCAAGCCATAGGAAAGGTGGTAAAAGGGCTCAGCAACCCCCTTGGTTCAATAGGGAACTCATGGACCTCCTACGTCTAAAAAGAGGCTTCTAAAGGATGGAAGATAGGAAACACACCTAAGGAGGAATATTGTGCACTGGTCGCTACCTGTAGGGATTGAACTAGGAAATCCAAGGCTGCAACTGAACTCAAATTGGCCACACGAATCAAGGACAATAAAAAGTCCTTCTTCAGATACATGGGGAGTTGGAAGAAAAACAAGGGCAACATTGGACCCCTGCTAAATCAATTGGGACAGCTGACAACAAACACGCAGGAAAAAGCCAATCTGCTTAATTATTATTTTGTGTCAGCTTTTCACCAGCCCAAAGGGACCACCCTGCCTAACATGATGTGGGATAACCAGGATGAAAGTGAATATATGCCCACCATTGGCATAGATCTTGTGAAGGAGCACCTTGAGAGGCTGGACACCAACAAATCAGCTGATCCAGATAGATTGCACCCAAGAGTGATAAAGAACTGGCAGACATAGTAGTGCAGTCACTGGCAAGGAAGGATATTTGACAACTTGTGGAGCTTGGGCAAAGTACCTGAAGATTGGAAGAAGGCCAGTGTGGTGCCTATCTTCAAGAAAGGGAGGAAAGAAGATCTGGGAAACTACAGGCCGATCAGTTCAACCTGGACAAAAGGGAAGAGGTTGATATAATATATTTGGACTTTAAAAAAGCCTTTGACCTGGTGTCCCATGGTCTCTTCATGGAAAAATTGGGCAAGTGCAGCCTCAACTACACTACAGTTCAGTTGCTGGGGAACTGGCTCTGAGGCCGGTCCCAGACAGTAGTATTTGATGGAACCGAATCAACATGGCACTCAGTGACCAGTGGTGTTCCCTAAGGCTCCATACTCAGACCTGTATTCTTTAATGTCTTTATAAACAATCTAGACTCTGGTGTTAGAAGAGGACTGGTCAAGTTTGCTGATTACACTAAGCTTTGGGAAAGTGAATCCACACTTGAGGATAGGCTGGTGATCTAGACTGACCTCAATTGGCTTTGTATTGACGGTATTCAATACAAAGAAATGCAAGGTGCTCCTCCTCAGAGGGAAAAAGCTCACATCATACATATAGGCTTGGCAATGCTACACTCACTAGCACCACAACTGAAAGAGACTTTTGGGGATCACGATCCACCACAAGATGAACATGAGCCACCAATGCGATACTGCAGCAGGCAAAGCGAACAAAACTCTGGATTGCATTTACCTATGCATCTCAAGCAAGACCCAGGATGTCATCCTCCCACTGTACTCGGCCTTGGTGAGGCCGCAGCTAGAGTACTGCATGCAATTCTGGGCTCCACAATTCAGGAAGGATGTGGAGAAGCTTGAAAGAGTCCAGAGGAGAGCCACGCGCATGATCAAAGGGCAAGAAAACAGACCATATGAAGCCAGGCTGCGAGCCATGGGACTCTTCTGCCTGGAGAAACACAGGCTATGGGGTGACTTAGTGGCAGCCTCTAAGTACATAAGGGGCATGCATCAGGATCTGGGGGAATGTCTGTTCACCAGAGGGATGACAAGGGGGAATGTCTGTTCACCAAGGGATGACAAGGGGGAATGGCCACAAATGCCTGCAAGACCGTTTTACGCTCGACATAAGAAAAAATGTCTTTATTGTCCAAGCCCCACAAGGCCTAGAATAGACTCCACCCAGAGATGGTGCAAGCACCTACTCTGGACACTTTTAAGAAACATTTGGATGTTTATCTTACAGGGATCCTTTGACCCTAGCTGACTTTTTGCCCTTCAGGCAGGGGACTGGACCCAATGATCTTATGAGGTCCCTTCCAGCCCTAATGTCTATGAAATCTATGAATCCTATATTGATATGTAGCTTATGCATGGACAGCAAAGTATCCTATTGATTTTGGTCATTTTTCCCTATCTATTAAAAAATGACTGTCATATTACGGTCATCTTGAAATGCCAGGCAATCTGCTATAGCATAATTAAAAGTCTCATAAAATGCCATGTAAATCTCACTCTAAATTATAATTTGGGGGGAAGCTGAGTAGGCCAATAGTGTTTTAAAAGTAGGTTATGTTCCCAGAATCTATGCACTGTATTGAATCTTCAGCTCAAGAATGGATGCTTTTCTGGAGGATATGTTTTAAGCCCACAAATGATTGGGCTCAATCCATAGGTACTTGAATATAATTTAATGGCCTGTCATATACATGAGGTCAAATTAGATGATCTAATAGTCTCCTTAAAATTCTATGAATCTTTTAATTCAAATATAATGCTTTTTCTGTCCCTGGTTTAGTAAGATAAATAATAACAGCAATAATATAAGTCTTCTCCCAAACTTTGGCTTGTTACTAAGATTTCTACCTTTATTTTCAGTGTGGACTCTTCTTAAGTGATACCTGCTATGGTGAGTCATCTGGAATCAGTCAGCTTTTTGCAGCAATGTTCCAACACTGGTCCTAGTGTGACTCAACAGTTGATTACCTAGTCAGGATATAAAATTCTGTTTCAGTTTTGAGATACTATTTTAAATTGGATTATAAGTATCCTCTGCTTCAAATCAGTTGCTGCATTTGTATTTGCCTGAAGTCAAGATTTTGGCCTGGGATTCTAGTTTGGGGAAGATTTTTTAGGTGGTTCATTGTCTCCAAGCCTGCAAGTCTTTAGGAGGTAACACAGCAGTGCCACCTGCTTCCCTGCAGATGTGAAAGTAGCATTTAACAGAGGAGATGATGAACAGACACCTGGGTGCTGCCTAGACAGAATGAACTGAAAACAATATTTTAAATCTTCAAGTCACCATGTTTTCATGCACTTATAGAAAAAGTAGTAGCAAATACTGTCTTTCTAGTATAAGTATAAAATGATTTGATTGACAACTTATTTTATAATGAAAGTTGGGAGGGTGTGGAGAGAATCAGTCAGTAGGAAATCTCAGGCCTTCCAAACTGCACTTTCTAATAGGTATGGTGTGTGGTAACTGTATGAACAAGGGCTGTGCGAGGCTTTGGTAGCTGATTTGATTCGGAGGAGATTCAACCTGATTTGAGGACCAAATCTCTGAATCTGAATTGAATCAAAAGACAAATTAAAAGCTCTGAATTGATTTGAAGCATCCGAATTGATTTAGAAAAGCTTCGGAAGAGATTCGGCCACTTCAGAGATTCGGCCAGAGACGAAACAGCTGACACAGCTGCCTCCAGCTGGTAAGTCTGTTGGGTTTGGGGAAGGGGGGAGGGAAGGGGCGTGGGGGAGGGAGGGATTGGGGCTGGAACTGGGACAAGCTGCCCAGCTGGGGCAGCAGAGCATGTTACTCAGGGAGCTGGGGAGGGCAGGTGTAGGATGCAGGCACAGTAGCACTGGGAGCAGGGGCTCTGCCCTGTTGCTGCTTGCCCGGGGGCGGAGGGGGGACAGGATGTGGGCATGGCTCGCTCCAGGTGGAAGGGGCAAGTGGCAGCAAGGCATAGCCCCTGCTACCAGTGAGGCCACACCTGCACCTTGTGCCCCCTGTGCCAGCTCACAAGTGGCGGCAGGGCAGAGCCCCCGCTCCCAGTGCTGATGCCTGCTGCCACCCAGGGCAAGCCGTGCCTGCATCACACACACCCCCTGCACCTGCTGGGCAGGTGGCAGCAGGGCATAACCCCTGTGGCTCCCCCCACCAAGGCAGGGGCAGGAGCCGTGGGAGAAGCCACCATGGCTGTCCTGTCTGGTCCAGCCTCCTGGCACTTAAACAAACAAACAAACAAAAGTCCCATACTCACTGGCTCTGGCAGCAGTGATCAGGACTTCTGAGGGCTCATGGCAGAGCACCCCATGCAGCATATGGTGGGGGGGCAGTGGGGATGCCCCCCACCTGGCACCTGCATGGCAGCTGCCCCATGGCATGGGTGCAGCGTGGCTCAGCAGCATGCCATGTGCTGTCTGCGAGCTTGGATGTCTCCATGTGTCAGCTGGGGCCCGGCACCACTCAGCACAACGACCCCAGGCCCCAGACAGCACACAGCGCCCTGCTGAGCCATGCTGCACTCATGCAATGCAACAGCTGCCATGCAGGTGCAAGGTGGGGGGGGGAAATCCCTGCTGTCCCCCCACCTCCCCACGCTGCATGCATGTGTGTGGGGGGGGGGGGGGGAGGGGGGCTCTGCCATGAGTGCTCAGAGGCCCTGATTACATTTGCTCCATCTGGTGAATGTGGGGCTTTTTTTTTTTAAAGCTCTGCACTCACCAGTTGCAGTGTTGCGCGGCAGGGCTCTGCTATAGGTGCTGAGAGGCTTCAATTGCTGCTGCTGCATCCAGTGATTGCAGGGCCTTTTTTACCTTTAAAAAAAAAAAAAAAAAAAAAAAGTGTCAGGACTAGGCTGGGGCTAGGCAGGGGGATGGGGCCCGGTAGGGCAGTGATGGGAGCTTCTCCTGCGGCTCCCTCCACCTGGGGAG